TTGGGTGAAGGGCTACATTAGCCATACTGAAATTAATCCCGTTATGGATCATGTTTAGGAACATAGTTAATTGACTCATTAACTATCTCTCCGGTTTCATTTTATGTTAATAAAGTTTATTTTTACCGAACATTACTGCAAATTTGTACATGCACACTTATCGATTGCACACATGCACACAGACCGCCGCTCCAGACCGCTTTGCGTGATCACGAAGGTAGGCTAATGGCTGAATGGGAATTTATAAACAAGATCACGGGAATTAATAGCCTAAGAAAAAAGTAATGATTTTCTGCAAAGTAAAACCAAAGAAACAGCACACAAAGAAAATAATGTGAAGTTAGGCTCTTGAAGCGTGACTGCCGGGCTAGGTAGAGGCTGACGACCTCCTCGGGACCCTGTTTGACGGAGGTGGCGATGGGGGCGCGTGCATCAGGACAAACTGGCGCTAACCTCTCGAAGAGCCGCAGGTGAATTGGTGTAGCTTTCATTAAAGATGTTGCATAATAATAATACTGTATACAGATCATTGCCACTAATGGAAAAACATGAAATTGTCCTGCATATGAATTATAGCAAACATTAAACAGTAAACAGAATGTTATGAGATTGCCAGGGAGATTACCCAGTGGACCCTGATATGCGCTACTAAATGTTTTAAAAAATACATAAAAGATATGCAGACCATATTTGATGATTTGAATGTTACTATTAAATGTTTACACCAATACTAGTGGTAAAGTTACATAAACTCTGTGAGGTAGTGAATTACTGAGAGGTATCGTTAGCTAAACTCTGAAGTGGATAAACTGTTTCTGACATAATTTCAGCGGTGGGTAAACTGCGTTAGCCTCCATTACAGCCCTGATGACACGGTCAATGTGAAAGAGAACCGTAGCAGTCTAACGTTATAACAAAACGCAAACACACGATTGCAAAAGCCGCTTGATGGTCATCACCACTGATCCAAACTCTAGCCACGAAGCTTTCATGACGATATGGACATTTACTTCAGGGCAATTTTGTTTTGGCTCAAATTCGTGAATCAGGAAAAATGCTCTTCTAATGTCAGAGTGATCGTACTTATAGTGGAGGCTGTGTCAAAGGGAACACGGTAGCTATAGAAAATACACACAGCGCTAGCGAACACGCAGCTTGTAAACATTAACGTTAGCATGAACTTACCGTGACAATATCTCGCTTCTCTCGACCTCGGGACAGGGCAAGCAGAGAGGTTTGCGTTCACAGACGGCACGGCGGTAGGAAGTAATTTAGCACTCCTCTCACTCTAATCCAAGTGAAGTGAGACCATCTTGGCATCCCTGAGCGGTTATCCTCCGCTTTGAAAAGCGCGCTGCATATTCTCGAGTAGACGGCGAAAGAGCTAACTTAGCTGAAAAATCTGCTCGCCTAATCTTGACAAGTTGCTTCGGAAGATCCCTTTGTCCTTGGGAAAACAATGGACCCTATGTCCAATTTTGCTAAAGTTTTTGCACCCGCCACAAACACAGTAACATTACTAAACCATTTTGTCTACTGATTATCTAATATTCTTTGTCTCTAAACTGTTATGCTATGCTATCTCTCACTATCTATCTGTGTTATACTTATGATTAATCTATCTATCTATCTATCTATCTCAATATATTTACTTATATGTCTGACACTGTCACTCTTTCACTAGCTAACGTTAGCTAGTGGGCTTTCCTCTGTTGTCCAACAGCGAGTACCTCATGTGACGTCATGCAATGCATTGTGGGAGAAATTAGAATCTTTGCTAAGCTACTTCTAAACGCTAACATATTACCTACTTTTCCGTATTATATTTCTTTTTTGTAATCTCCTACAGCATCAAATACAATGGATAACTGTTTAAATGTTTATTACCAACTAGAAAACTGCCAAAAAAACCCCTGCACCATGGGCTTTATATAATAAATATTTTTATGTATATTTAAAATTAAATTGATATTTTAAATATTACATTGTATTAATATAAATATAAATAATAAAATAGATTTATATATAAAAAAACACTCGTTTGTAGACCCCTAAGGGTTAATATAACTTTACTCACCTCTTGCTAGATGTAGTCTGTGGCCAAAGCACTGTAGCCCAGTCCAGTTATTTAGAGAAGCTGCCTACACCACATTAGCCCCGTTGTCTGTTGTAATGTAGACAATCCTCTCCTCCTGTAAGCTCCAAGAGGCCATCGCCTCCCTCAGACGCTGGGCAATCGACTCTCCCGTGTGATCTTGCGGGAAAGAAGACGTTGCAATCAGCGGTGTAGTGGTTAAAAAAGAGGTGGCCAAACTATAAATTCTGGTGGACCACGACGTAGTCACCAGGTAAGGTGGGCCACTGCCTACCGGTGTATGTGTATCCTGATAACATTGCTATATAGGGAGGCCTCAACATTAAGCCTTTTCATACGCTCGTCCTTCGGATAAGTACATCTGTCATTCACTTGTACGAGTAAAAAAGATGTGTTAATTTATTCTGAAACAATATTCTCATCAGTGGTCAATCAAGCTTTGAAATTTAAATCACCATATTGTAATATCTGCACCTTTAAAGGGCATCCCCTTCCCCAATATTATTAAATGTATGCTTCATCTTTCATTTTAAAATCCTAAATTTGATCAATAAATTCAATTATTTGGAATAATAAGACACTATAGGGCTGTTACCCTAGGGGCTGGTTTACACTGAAAAATTACAATTGCATAAAATAAAGTTATGAAATTGATTTAAATTTACATATAAGAAACGTTGGAAAGAATGATACCACCTTTAAACATTTAACACTAAATCGCCAGTAGGTGGCGGCAGGCGACCGTCTTAACCCTTTATGACCTGCCATAGAACAGTTCCACCAGAGTATATCTTTCTATTTTTAACATGCTGTGCTG